ACATAAATGTTTCAGATAGGGACACTGCCCGGTAGGGTCGTTATCTGGGAGACTCTAAGGCTTGGGATCCAGATGTCCCCCCCAAATCTCACTGTAGTTTTGCTTTGTACTTTTTCTGATGGCCAAGGATACTGAGCATCAGCCTCCTTACTAGGAAAATGTTTTTCAGGTTTTTTGCCCATATGTTAATTGGTTAGTTGTCTTCTTATTGCTTTGAACAGTTTCTTACATATTCTAGAGATAAATTCTCTGTTACATGATTCTGAGTATTTTTCCCCATTCTGTGGGTGTATTTGCTTTCTTTGAAGCAGGAAAGTTTTCAACTTCAGTAATGTCTAATTTTTACTTGTGCTTTCAGTATCATTTCTAAAAAGTTGTTGCTTAGTCTCTGGACACAAAGATTTATGCTCATATTTTCTTCTAAAGAGTTTCTAGCTTTACCTTTTCTAGTTAGTTTGAAAAACTATTTTGCATTAATTTTTGTATGTGGTGTGAGGTGGGGGTCCCTGGGTCACTTGTTGAAGAGCCTAGTCCTTCCCCTTTCCCTGTGTGGCATCCTGGTGGAAATGAATTGATCCTGAAGCGGGGGTTATTTTCAGATTCTGAATTCTATTCCATTGATCTGTGTCTACTTTTACTTCCACATCATGCCAGTTTGCTTATAGTAAATTATAGCTTTATAGTAAGTTCTAAAATCCGAAACGTGAATCCTTTTGCTTTGTTCTTCTTTTTCAAGATAGGTTTCAGTTTTCATTGTCTCTTGGACTTCCCTGTGAACTTCAGGATCAATAGGTAAATTTCTGCAGTCAGCAGAGATTTGTTAGAGAATGCCCTGATCTGGCAGGTCAGTTTCGGGAGCCTTGCCGCCTTTCACTATATTAAGTCTTCTGATCCCTGATCATAGAATTTATTTATATCTTCTTAAATTTCATTCAACAGTACTTTATGGTTTTCAAAGTGTATGTTTTGCACTCCTTCTGTTAAATTTATTATTAGTATTTCCTTCTTTTCGATGTTGCTATAATGGATTAAATATCTTTTCAATTTGTGCACTGTTATTGCACATAGCTTTTTTGTGTATTAATCTTGCATTCTGCAACTGCTTGGCTCATTTGTCAGTTTCTTACAGTTTCTCCAGTATAATACTGAGAAAAAGTGGTGATAGCAGCTGTCCTTTGTGTGTTTACAGCCTTAGTAGGGAAGCTTCCAGGGTGCACTTGTGTGTCCTTACTATAGGTGTTCGATACCATCAACATATTTTCTGTAACAGAGGAGGTACCAATAAATGTTCACCTTGTTTCTTGAAGAAAGCCTGAGTGAGTGAGTGCCAGAGTTTAGTAAAATATTTGCTTTGCTATGCAGAGATGTAGTTGATAATTGAATGATATTTGCTCAATTGGCATTTATTTTCACACCCCTGGATTTACATATTGCTGCATAGCAGTAAGACCTAATGTTCCCATCTGCTTCCACATTTGAGTATCAGTATGACTTGTAAGCAGGGGAAGGTGTGGAGTCCCTTTCTGCCTGTGGACTCTTCCTCAGGTCTCTCCTGACAGCGTCTGCCTGCTTTCAATACCAGTGGCTTAAGACTGTACACCTCCTGGATCATTGGTCTTTGATCTTTCCTAGACCTGCACAGGAACTCTGCTGAAATCCAGCCTTCCTGGATGGATCTGAGGGCCCTGAAGCTTCTCACCAGGAGGGACATTTATATTTGTGACTCACCTTTGTGTTTCAAAAAAGGTAATGGTTGCTGTATGTGTACCTCCTGCTTACGTTTCATGAAACACTGTGCATTAGACATTGTATCTCCACGGGGGAAGCAGGGTGAGGTAGAAAACCAGAGATTTAAGAAACTTAGCCAGACTAACTGGTATGTGGTAACACTGGGGTCCGAATGTGCGCCCCACTGTAGCTCTGTCATTATAAGTGGGCTGGTGAGAGTCAGTTTTACCACTTCCCAGTGTGTGATTGTGGAGGAGTCACTCACTTTCCCCGGCTCTCAGCCTCTTCATGAGAGAAGTGGGGGAAATGACAAGTGAAATGGGACAGGTGGGGACCCAGGAAAGACACACAGCGCTGGGTTCTTTCATTGTCCCCTGCGCCTCTTGGTCTTAGAGGTTTTCCACAATTGCGTGTTGTAATTGGTGAAAATTCTTGGTTGGATCAAATTTAACCCAAAAATAAGTCTGGAGTGGTGACCATGAGCCATGCCGTATGTGCAAACCACCTGTGGCTGAATCCAAATTCTAGGGGAGCGTGTGTTTTCTTTTTAGATAAAATTTGTTAAGAGTTTACTATGGCTCAATTGTCCTAAATATTTTACATGAAAAACTCACTTAGTTTATATTAATGAGTGCTTTGTTATGATTTCCATCACATGGGTAAGTAAACTGTAAACAGGACAGTCTAGGTTACTTGTTAAATCTTAAACACAACTTGTAAATGGTGCAGCTGAGACTCAACTCCTGCCACCAGCAAAGCCCACACTCTTAATTATCCTTGGGGCTCTGAAGTCTCCCACTCTGGACTTCACAGGTCAGCAAAATGCTCTGGAAGGGCCACAAGGAATCATCCATAACTGCAACAGTGCTCCATGAGATCCTGGCACCATCTCTGCCCTGGGGGATGCTGTGAGGTGGATGAGGACACCATTATTGTGTAACATCTGTCTCACTCCCAGGAAGCTAGATCCTGAGTGAAGCGAGGCAGCAGTGTGCATAGGACGACCTCCAAGGCAGGCAAAGGTGGCAAGTGCTGAAGAAGTGACAGGAAGTGTTACCTGTGAAAGTTCACAGCTATCAGCTCTGGCTTGGTGACTCAGAAACACTCAGCTGAAGGGCAGCGTGTCAATAGATACTTTCGAGAAGAGAAAGACGTTGGCTGGTAGAGACCAGGGCTTCCTGGCAGGGGAATGGACAAGAGATAGGATGAGCCAACCCTCCCTTGACAGGACCTCTCTGCGTCCCTGGGGGCCAGGAAGACTTCAGTCCCTGAAGCTGAAAGGGTTGGATTGCCCTGTGGGTGTGGATTCCTGTGTGTGGTCCCAGGGAGGAGGCACAGGAATGAGCACTTAGGAAAGAGGGGAGGGGATGAAGCTGAGGCTCCTCTGAGTGGGTGCTGGGCAGCAGGGGATATCAGGCGACCAGGGGGGCAACGTTCTGCAGTCTGCCCTTGGGGACAGAGAAGGGGTGAGGGAAACCGAGATCCTGAAGTCTGAGGAGAGGAGAAAGGTACAACGACAAGTGTGTGCTTTCCAGTGTTGACTTGGAGTGACACCCAGCTGGGTGCCCCACCTAGGATATCTTTAAGTCACCAACAAGTGGGATGCAAGGAAACCATGAGGACTTGGGGCAGAAACTTGGGAGTGGCCTCCCTTGTGGGCAAGAGAGCCTGGTGGGGCACTCGTGGGAGGATGGCTGGAACATGTGTGTCCAGAGTCATGGAAGGAGAGGCCTTGAGGGCTGTGGGGTACAGAATGCGAATGGCAGGGACACCTAGAGGTGAAGACAGGCACAAGCTCCCAGGGTCAGCATTAGGACACACAGCGAAGAGGGCCAGCTGGAGAACCCATGGGAGAATGGTCCCAGCGGCTGGGCTGAGCAGCGGGAGGTGCAGTCTCCCATCCCTGAGTGCCAGGAAGTGGGGACCTTGCAAGGGTGGAGGCTGGGGACACTCAGTAGGGAGGGTGGTTTCAAACACAAGGAACAGCAAGGGTAGGAGAAGAATGGGGAGGAAGGTGGTGGGTGTCAGGAAGGACAGCTAGTGTTGCCCCCATTTTCTGCAGGGCAGACAGAGATGGCTGTCAGGTTGCAGCTCCTGCCTCTCTAGTTAGAAGTCAGCACCTACTCAGGTGGGGAGGGTCTGTTCCTGGGCTGCAAAGGCTTCCATGGACTTGGTGTCCTGGGCTTTTCACACAGCCCACCGCCCCCGCTTCCTCCTTTCCTTTTTCTTTCCAAGACTCAGTTGAGATCCAACAGAAGCCAAGCCGAGGTGGCGGTGGGCAGGCCGGAGTCGTCCACGGTCCCACCATTCAGATGTGGGAAAGACCTGTTCCTGGATGGTCCCTCGGCCATCAGGGCAGGTGGGCTCAGAAGGGACGCCAGGCTAATGCCATGTGTCCTTGGTAATAGCGCCGTGGGCTGCACTGGCTGGGTTCCACAGCTTTGCCAGCCCTGCCGCACCTTGCGTCATCTGTACAGAAAAGGTCTCCACTTTTGGAGGCCTTTGCAGCCCCACCCGAGCCCCCTCCCACAGCGAGGTCCTCCCCAGCCCCACCTCGCTCCACCCTCTCTTGCCCAGGCCCCTCGGAGTAGCTACACCTCCCTGGGCTGCGGGGCTTCGCCAGGCTAGGAGGCAGCAAGCAACGAGTTGAAGGCCAGATCCCTCGGCGCCCCCTCCACCTTATCATGCCTGTCTGCGCCCTGCGCTCCCCGCATCTTGTCTGGAGTCCGACAGCGCCGCCTGCTGCTGCCCGGTCGAGAGTGGTCGGGCCGAGAGCGGGCTGGGTGTTTTTAGTTTGCCATTCTCCGCCCTCGGCATTCTTGGTGAGTGAATAAGAGGATAAGGTCGAAAGGGAGATCTCCCAACGCATGGCCCGGTTCCCTGCCGGATTGCCCACCCGCGGCCGCCTAACTGCCTTTTCACAGATGGAGTGCCCCCAGGATACCGATGGGTCCCCCGTGGGGCTCCTCCCCCACTACGCTGGGGACATGGGGTGGAGGTCCCTCTGTGCAGCTGGACGGCGACGGACCGGACTGCGGTGCTGCGACATGTCCCACACCTCTCCCACGTGAGATTGCGCTGGGCTTGGCAGCGCCCACCCTGGAGCTGTGAGGGAGCACTGGTGTCAGGTCCACCTGGGCTCTATCCACGGACCCCCTGGCCTAGCACCCAGTCCTGGGCTGGAGCCCTGTCTTCGTGGGAATCCGTGTCCTGCACAGTACCCTCCCCCTTCGTCCCAACCCTCCTCCAGCGTCCTGCAGGTCAGGGTCGCGATGGTCCCCGCCCTGTCACACCCCTTTTTTCCGGGTCTTGAAGTTAGGGTAACGTTTATGGAGGAGGTGGGGAGTTAAAGGCCCAGGAAGAGCTGTGCTAGGAAGAGAAGCGGTGGGGCACGTTCCCTACCCTCAGTGCTCAACTCAGCGAGGGGCTCCGAGCGTGACGGAGGCGCGGGCGTCCCGGGAACCCAGCGATCTGAGGACGCCGCCCCGGCCCTTCCCACTGCACTTCCTTCCTTTTCCCGAACGTCCAGGAGGGAGGGGGCCGCGCGTTTATAAGCCAGCCCGGCCCGCGGGGCAGAGCAGAGTTGCTTCTCCGCCGGGACCCGCTCCGCGCCTTCTGCTCCGCCTCCCCCCGCGGGCCCCAGCCTCGAGT